TGATGCTATCTCACAGCCCAACGATCCCGTTTCCATGTCTGCCTGCCATCCCGTCCGTGCAGACAGAACACGGCCCATGTCTCAGCCCATCGACCATGCCCGTCGCGCTAGCAACGATCGCTGGGGCACGCGCCTCGGCCAAGGAGCAGTCGTGTCGGCTGCAGCGCGCTAACGCGACGACCATGGTGCGTGCTTTCCCTGGTTTGGACGCGCAAGGCGTGTGCCGAGAGCGCACGCGGGCGACCTGTGACCGAGGCGACGCGCGACGGGCGACGGCCGCCCGCGGACTTTGTGGCTCACGACTCACGTTCCGGGAACACTGCTATGGTCCCTTGTCCCTGGGGCGCGCGCAGAGCCCGGGTGTGTGCGCGACCGTTGACGACTTTGCCCGTGCGCTCACAACGTCTTTGCAGATGTCGAGCGCGATAGAACCAGGCCACGGAATTCGCGCTCTGAGGCCGCAGAACGTCGGCTGCGTGACGTCGGACCTCGCATCGCCCATTGGAACAGTGGCTGAGAAGCGTCAGGGACGGGAGACGGCGTCGCGAGCGACAAGGAAGATGCCGTGCGCTGGACCAACGCACGCGGTGACACTCATATCGCGGTGCGTTCTGCGCCCTGGCGGCGGCGGCGCAGCATCACACCATCTGACCTGGGACGCACAGAGACGTCCGGGAGGGATGCGATGTAGACTTTATAGAGACGCACGTACAGCGGAAGCCCGGGGGACGCCGGACAGAGACGACCGGCACCCGAGCAGACAAACGAATATATTTCTACTCCTGGTATGTACACTGGCAGGCCTGGTCTATGCAGATCGGCCGGTGATGATGGCCGAGAAGGACGCACCGGCCGCACGGGCGACCTGCTCACGACCGGATGGCCCTTCGCGAGGTCGCCGGGCAGCTTTGGGCAGCGTCGGCGAGCGAGCAGCCCATCTCGTGGCGTCGCGACGAGGGGTAGGGCGGGCGTACGTCAGTCAATCACCGAATGGCAAGGATACAACGCGCACCGTAGATCATACCTGCCGTGTGATCGTGCCGGTCACCGCAGAACGATGCGATCACGCAGCACTTGATGCAGCGTGAGTATGGTCGGCTGTGCGGGGTGCGCGATTTGCGCCGCGCGTCGTGGGTGCGGCGGCACGACCAGCTCTTCATCTTCAGCGGGCCCACGCGCACCGTCGCGACCAAGGCGAACAAGCCTGTGTGGGCGCGCTCCGTCTCGTGGCGCGGTCACGGCCCCAGCGTCAGCGCCCCTGCGTTGCCCATCTCGCCCAACTCAACAGGCTCCCCACCGGGAATATTGAGCTTGGGCTCCGGCGATGCTGTTAGACCACATAAGCGCATTTTCCGTGTTGAGCTGAACGCGCAGACCCACAGCGCACAGGCATATTTGTGAGTCAGAGCCACTGCCAAAGTCAGCCTGAACCCGCACGCGCGCCTGCACCCGTAGCGCAGGCCGCTGGTCAAACGCCGGTGTCCTCTTGACACGACAATGCTGCGGCACCGGCGGTCAGCCACGGCGCTGCCGGAGATGAGAGACGACAGCGCAGACACGTACCGTGCATGTGCGTACAGCGCGCGGGCAGCGTTCTGCATGACCTATGCTCCGTGGAGACAAAGTGTCAAGAGTGTGGTCAGTGCGCTTCTGTGGAGGACGGGTGCGGCACACACACCGCATGAGGAGCGATAGGACGTCGGCGCGTGAGTTTCCGCTGACCGCTGAAGAATGGACGGGACGGGATGGGACCGGGGAGCACGCGCGCACAGTTCGAACCAGCGTCACCATGGGCACACGATTGCCATGTACAACATGTGTCAAGATCTGGGGACCGAGCGCATGATGCTCAGAGCCTCCGGGGTAAACAGTCAGCACTGGCGGTACCAGTCAGACGGTCATGTACTCACGGAGAACGGCAGGTGCATCCGACGCGTGAGTATTGTACTGCGCTAACGGGCTCGACGCTCCCTCATGAACACTCGACGGGCAGCAGACGGAGGATGATACGCACCCGATTGCTCGTAGCGAGCATACCAGCCGGGCAGTTGGCATTCCGGCCACATAGCGACAGCACTCGGTTGTCCACTGGAGTGCGGAAGATGCGGGAAACAAGCTGCAGCTGCGGCTTTATATATTGTTTCCTGAGAGTCTGCGGAGGCCGATGCCGCGCATCTTGTCAGACGAGTCTACGTGAACATTGAGTCAATTGCTGTTACATGCGCAAAAAACAAATGCGCTTGCAGCTACCCGAACATGTTGCAACATAGCGAGTCATGACAACAGCTTAAAATAGTACAGTGCACTATCGAGCAGAATGCGCTGCATTATGGCTATTTTTAGTTAATGATCTTCCTGACTGCGATGGGAGTCTATGTAGAAACGAGTGTTGGCATCGGGTTCGAACAAGCGAGCGCGAAGGTTTATGGAAGCGAGCGGCGTGGGAAAATATCAAATACGAAGCGGTTTGTCTCGTCCTCGGGGCGGGGAGGTAAACGCGCGAGGTAATTACATGCGAGAACTCGGCCTAATATAGTAAACACTTATCTAAATCAGGTACGAAGGAACAAGGTACTATCGCGCCGCAGCGCGGCACGTCGGCGAGCCGGTAGTCAGGCATGCGCTCGCCCGGTTGTTTCAACAGTCTAGCCCAACTGTACCTATTTGTAGTATCTCAACAACTTTATTTATTGCACTACATGTACCTTGGTCATTCTCGTACTTTGCATTCCGACTGCTTGCTTTGACCTACAGACTCATCTCCAAAGCAAATACACAAGTAAGTAAACTTTGTATATTTGCACAACTTGGTATACATGGTAACAAAAACAGTATGGTCCATGTTGATCTTGGCAGCAGTCAGTCAGCTCCGAGCTATGCAACATCCTTCACGCAAAAGCGTGGCATACTGCGCGCAGTCATCCAGGATGCATTGCGTGAGTTGAATTGTACGTATTTCTGATATGCGGCTAGAGACTTACTCGATATGGGCATTACAGGCAAAGTCACTGGGGATCCGAATGCGCGGATGCGCTGGACCCCGCAATCGTATATCAATCACGTGTGGAACAAGTATTGGGTTGCCTTACAGGGATGGAGTCCACATGTCCCGTTCAAGAATCCCAGCAATCTTCCTGGTGGTACCCGAGTCTTCGACAACTTGATCTTCCGGTGCGAGCGTGGGATCATACGATTTGTCAAGATACCCGAGCACGAGCGCTGCAACATCGACATGACAAAGGTTGTGCCTGGCGGAATTGTTGCCCGCAAACCATGGCCCGGTCGCCCGGATATCAAGCGTGCCCGGCATCGTCCGGTATCAAATCCGCACAATCTTCCCTTACGCAGACAGCGACCAGGCCCGATCACACCGGAGTATGTGTGGGAAAATACTGATGCCGAGATAAGAGATGATGGCACACTCGAGGACGACGAGATAGTAGAGACATGGGACGAGGAATGTGCACAGGTAAACATTGACAATGAGGACCCAATTGAGGACTGGCCGTAGAACTACATGTTGCAAATGTCTGTCTAGCATACCATACGGAGTTGCTCTCGCTAAATCCTAATGGAGCATGTCCCAAAAGATTTTGATGC